AACTTTGTGACCTACAATTTTTTTTTTAAGCCCGCCCTAAACACATTTAACTTTTAGTCTTATATAGTCTTAATTAAAGGATAGAGTTAATAATCCATTTTGGCATTTTGATATTCAAAGTAATTTAAAATACACAAAAACATGATCAAAACAGCTTCAACATTATATATTAATTAATTTGGACTGTAGAGTTATTAAAATAAGAAATTATAAAATAATTAAAAAATTGAAATTTTGAATATTATATCTACTAAAAATAGCAATATGATGTTGCCTTTTTACTTTGTTAATTTTAACTAAAACTTACCTTTTAAAGAAAATATTTGTAATCTTTGAATGAATAGATAAAAAGAAAGATAAATATTAAATTATATTACAAGAACTGTATATAAGGCGTAATTTCAAGTGACCCTCCATGCAAAGATGGAAATGTCTTATTTTAAACGGTACCCTTGGACCCACATCCCCATCAAATGTAAATAAACACCAGTCCTACATAAACAAACACTACACTTCATATATTGCCTATTGAACAATCTGTTCAGCATTCCAGTTCACTTTCTGTAAGGGGTGTACCACTTAAAGGGACTGTAAGCGTAATTTCAAGTGACCTTCCATGCAAAGATGGTAATGTCCGATTCACTTGCCTGTACCTTTAAATGCTTTGCCAGATCACGTACGAATTAATTTTTATAATTTTGTGGTTTCTCTACAAAACTGACTTGCGCATTTCTACTGCAGGAGAACATATAGAATTTATCAGAATTAAACACTTTTCAACAGAGAAAAAAACGACATATATTCGACATTATTGATCAAATGTAAGTTTCAAGGGTACCGTTTATCACTCGGGCATACAGGATCATATTCAAATTACGCTTACAGTCCCTTTAAATCAATATAATCCGAGAATTGAGAGACGAGATAACGGTCGTCTTTGATCTATTAACAAAATGTGAATGAAAATATTGGACGATTTGAAAGATTTCCATTATTTTATATATCCCCTTAAATCTTAATTGATTTAAAGTCACTTTTTATTGAAAACTTTTTAGGATGCACTTAATTGAATAAAATATAAAATTGGGGCTTACCAAATTGGAACTTGATAAACATTTCAACAAGTGAGATACCACAAAAAAATTTGGCCTGATCGTGTTTCTCCACAACTTGTCTTTTAAGAAAACATAATTTATTTATCTAAACACTTTAACCTTTAAAGCATGAACTCTACAATCTACAGAGGATCCGCAAGAGTTTGGCTTCCTGGATCCGGATCCGGATCCGCAAAAATATGCGGATCCACGGATCCGGATCCAAGGGGTAAAATATCAACCAAAAACTGCAAAAAAAACTTTTTTACTCCTAAAACCAAATTCTGAACTTTTGAAAAAAAGAGAGATTATAAAGTTTCCTCATTTCTGAAAATTTGAAAATTATTTTTTTGTTAAAAAAATTCAGTAAATTTTAAAGAAATGACCTGGATCCGGGTCCATTTTATTCCAGTGCGGATCCAGGATCCGGATCCGGATCCGCATCAAAATTAAATGGATCCTAAGCACTGATTTTAACTAACATAAAAAGAGCCTTAACAGCGATATGATTATTTGTACATTTAAAGTAGGGATACCTCAACACGTTTTGTTTTGTTGATTTTTGTTGTAATCAAAATACAAAACATATTTTATTTCTAAACTTTTATTCAGTGTGTGCTGTACTTTTTTGTTTTGTAAGTTTCACGTTGTAATATGTTAAGTTATTTTGGAATATTTTTATCTTAAAAATATTCGAAAGGTGATTTATTTTAATAATATTAAAAGGGCAACTTTATCAAATAGAAATATATAAAATGATCTTTAAGGACTTTTTAAGGATGTATTTTGATTTTTTCTCTGCATTTTTTTCTTCCCCCCTTTTTATTTTTTTTCTGATTTTGTTTTTTTTTTCATTTGAAACATGTAGAAGATGTTTAAAAAAATGTCGAAAAGGGTGCGAATACTAGGAAAGAAATGTAGAGGTAAAATAGTGATGAAACATGTTTTAAAATGATGTGTTTTGAGACGTCTGCTGTCAGGGTGGCCTCACACCTTCATGATGTATTGACCTGAGTCGTGGACGTTTATAAACGAGGAAACAAGAGTTTCATCTATGAAGGGGGGGGGGGTGGTACGGCTGGACAGAGATGCAAAATTTGGATATCAAAATACGTTTCAACAGATTTAAAAAAGCTTTAGTCTTCTGCTCAGAGGCGCGCAACTAGGGGGGCATGCCCCTCCCTTAAGAAGGCTTGCCCCCCCTGTAGAGGGGGGGGGGGCAAGAAGTACACACTGTTTTGCAATTTAGCGATTTATGAATCCTGACCCTGAGCAAATTTAAGAACTCTGATCGTAAAATAAAAAAATAATAATTGAACGTTAGTTTATTTATTTATATAGTACAATCAGAGGAATGCTTCAAAAACAAGCTGAAAAGAAGGGATCAATAAGAATGGTCTCCTGGAAAATTCAAAATAGCTTGATCAAAATTATATGAATAGCAATGTAAAAAATAAAAGTTTAAGCCTCCTACCGGGGTAATGGAAACATTATCCTTGGAAACGTTAGGTCGGAGAGGAGCGCCGGTAGATTTCTTTTTTATTTCATATCAGATGCGGTCATACTGAATATCCGGTTGGTAAGGTTACATTTTTTTGTTGAAATATAATACAAATTTTTTTTTTCGCTTCGCGCGAAATATTTACATCTTGCCCCCCCCC